GATGGTGACTCATTTCTGGACCCAGCTCACAGGCATAATAATGGTCTCATCCCTGAAGCCAGCCTATAGGAGAGATGTTGACTGTCATACCTGGGTTTAGGGTATCTGTCCACCTCATAGGTTATGTAACTCTCCTCTCTGGAATGGGCCCTGCACAAAGGAAGGATAGTGACATATTGCAAGGCCAGACACACAGGCAAGAGTACTTTTTTGCCAGAGCCATGCCTGAAGGAGGACATTGTGACATATCTCTGGGCGTTTCACCTAGGTTATATGACTCTCCTGCTTAGGCCCTGCCAACCTGGAGAGTGACATATTTCTAGGACAGGCACACAGGTGATGGTACTCTTTTACCAGGGCTATGCTTCATGGAGGACATTGTGACATATCTCTGGGCCTATCACCTAGATGGAGTGACTCCCTCCTTGGGCCCTACCTACATGGATCACTGTGGCATGAGCAGAGAACCTTTACCTAGGTGATGTAACTCTCTTGGCTGGGTGCTGTCCTAAGAGAGCCTTGTGACCTGTCCCAGGACCCAGCACCCATGTGATGTGGCTCTTCTGTCTGGTCTCTGCCCACATGTTACGTTGTGACATATTCCTAGGGAAGCACCTATGTGATAGAACTCTCCTCGTCTGCCTGAGCCCTGCCTGCTGGGGACATTGGGACATATCTCTGAGCCCATGACCTAGATGATGTGACCCTCTTTTTCTGCCTGAACCTTCACAATAGGAGCCCAGAACTCAGAATATGTTATTCTCCTCTTTTTCCTGAACCATGCCCACAAAAAAGGAATTTTGACCTATTGCAAGGCCCAGCATCCAGATGATGTTACTCTTCTTCCTGGGTTCTGCATAAAGAGGAAATTATGGCATACTGCATATTGCTTGGCCCAGCATTCTTATGATGTGACTCTCCTGCCTGTGCTGGAGCCACCGAATGTATTTTGACATATCTCGGGCCCATTATGTAGGTGTTTTGGCTCTTATAACTTGGCTGGGTTTTTCCACGTGAGATGGCGTCATATTGCTGGGTCCAGCACCCAGTTAATGTGGCCCAATTTCCTATACCCTGCCTAGAGAAAGCATTGTGACATGCTGCTTGGCACAACACCTAAGTGATGTTACCCTCCTGCCTAGTTTTTTGCCCACAAATGGGATTATGACATATACCTGACTTCAGTTCACAGGCATGATGATCAAACTTATATTGGGATTCAGCAAATAGGAGATGTTTTGCCTCTCATCATTACGTTTAGAGCAATAGGTAAGGTCCTGGGTTGCATATTTGTACCAAAGTCACAGAAGCTTACAACGCTAGCTTACATTGTATCAACTCTTTGGTGGTAGAGAGTTTCTTAACAGTGTCCAGCAAAAAGTTCAGATTGGAACTCTCGATTACACACACCCAGGTGAAATTAAAAATTGTCACCATCCCACGTTTACAGTGCCCACTGTTGAGGTCCTGAGTCTACCAAGGTAATACAGCACAAAGTTGGAATTGTGACTTTTATATGTGGATCTGGCCACAGGTGGGATGGTGATGCAGTTCTGGACCCAGCCCACAGGCGTAATAATGGGTCTTCTCCCTTAACCTTGCCTATAGGAGAGATGTTGACTATCAAACCTGGGTTTAGGGCAACGTGTAAAATTGTGAGTCCATTTGAGCACATGGGCCTCAGAGGGGTCTGCAACTCTCATGCAGGTTTTATAAAGCCCTCAGATGTCATAGAGAGGGTTATACATTGGCCCTGCACACGTGTGAGATTGTGACTCTAATACACACACTCAGCTAAAAGTCAAAGATGATGAGGTTGTATCATATCACTGGGCCTAGTACCCAGGTGTTGAGACTTCATTCCTCAAATTCCTTTCCATGGGTGCATTGTTACATATCACTGGGTCAGAATCACAGTAGTGCGACTCTTCTGCCTGGGCCCTGTCAGCAGGGGATATTATCACATATATCTGGGCCTGTCAGCTAGATGATGTGTCTCTCCAGCTTGTGCCCTGCCCCCAGAGAACATTTGGAAATATCATTGAAACGAGCGTCTAGGTGATGTAACTCTCCTCTCCTGCCTGGGTCCTGCCTACGAAAGGAATTGTGACATATGGCTGGGTGCAAAACCTAGGCTGTATATGTCTCCTCTCTATTCTGCACTCTGCCACGAGAGGGGATTATTACATATTTATGAGCCCAGCAACTAGGTAGTGTGATTCTTCTCTGTTTCTTAAACCCTTTCTATAATGGGATTAGTGACATACTACTTGAGACTTTAGCTGGGTGGTGTGACTCTTCTGCCTTGTCCCTGCCCACAGGAGAAATTGTGCCATATACCTGGGTTCAGCTCACATGCACAATAATAACTCTTATTCCTGGACCCAGCCCGTAGAGATATTTTGACTCTCATAGCCAGTCTTACGGCCAAGGGTAAAATCCTGGTTCTTCCATTTGTATAAACTTCACAGAGGATTATGACACTTAGGCATATTATATAAAGCCTGAGTGGTACAAAGAGTGTCATAACAGGGACCAGCAACCAGTTGAGATTGTGACTCTTGGATGCACATCCAGCTGACACAATTGTCATTCTCATACATAAACAGAGCCTATGAGTGAGGTACTAAATCTCACACATACAAAGCAGTCAAAGGCTGAAATTGTTACTCTCATACATGGATCTGACCCACAGTTGGTTTGGTGACGTCTGAACTATGATTCAGCACACCTGTGAGGCTGTGACTCTTCTACTGGAACACAATCTTCAACTGGGATTGAGGCTCTTACACATGGATCTTTCCCATTGTTGAGACTGTGACTCCTGTATGTCTACCAAACTCACAGGAGGTGTTGACTCTCATACCCGAAGCCAAGACCTGTGTGGGACTGTGAAACTTATTTCTTTACCTTTCTGAGTGTGTGACTGGGACATATAACTTTGCCCAGCCCCTGAGTGATTTGACTCTCCTTCCTAAACCGAGACCACAGGTGAAATTGTGTGATGCATGGAACAAGCACCTAACCTATAAAACTCCTTCTTAGGTTCTACCTACAAAGAGAAATTTTACATATCACTGGGACCAGCACCCAGGTGATGTGAATTTTCTGCCTGAACCCTGCCTTCAAAGAGCACTGTGGCTTATCTCTAGGTCCATCACGTAAGTGATGTGACTCCCTTCTACTGCCTTGTCCCTGCACTTGTGGTGCATCGTGACACATAACTGGGTACTGCACCCAGGTGACATGACTCTCCTTTTTGAGCGCCGCCAACAGGAAGCTTTGTAGCATATCACTTGGCTCAGCACCTAAGTGATGTTTCTCCTCTCTTGCCTGGGCCTTGACCACAGGGGAGATTTTGACATATTGCTCAGCCCAGCACCAATGTGAGGTCACTCTCCTGCCTTGGTACTGCACATAAAAGCCATTGTGACATATATCTAGGCCAATTGCCTAGGTGAAGTGAGTCCCCTCCCTTGCCTAAGCCCTGTGCAAAGGGGGGGACTTAGATATATCCCTGAAACCAGCATCCAGGTGATGTGACTCTTCTGCCAGGTTCCTGCGCACAAAGAGGATTGTGACATCTCACCGGACCCACACACCCAGGCGATGTGGCTTTTCTACCCTCTCCCTACCCACAGGTGATATTATGCCATATACCTGGGACCAGTCCTCTTATACCTGAAGCCAGGACATGTTCAGAATGGTGACTCTTGTCTCTGGACCTTTCCACAGGTGTTTTTGTGACATATACCTTTGCCCAGCTCCTGAGTGATTTAATAATCCTTCCTAGGTCTAGCTCACACATGAGATTTTGACATATACCAGGGCCAGGCTCCTTAGTGATTTGACTCGCTTAACAGTGTCCTCAGGGGGGAATTGTAGCATATCTTTATACCGTCATCTAGGTTACATGATTCTCCTCTCCTGCCTGAACCCTGCTTCCTGTGGAGATTGTAGCATTTCTAAGCACTGCTTCAAAATGATATGACTGTCTTGCCTGAACCCTGTCCACACAAAGCATTGTGACATATCTCTGGGCCCATCATTTAGGTGATATGAATCCCCTCCCTTGCCTGGACACTGCCCACAAGAGGCATTGTGCCCCAGAGCTGGGCCTAACACCCATGTTATGTGAATTTTCTGCCAGGGCCTTGCCTACAAGGATAATATTGGAATATTTCTGGCCTAGCATTTAGGTGATGTGGCTGTCCTGTCTGTCCCAAAACCACAGAGGGGATTGTGACATATACCTAGGCACATCCACAGGCATGATAATGACTCTCATATGTGAACCCAGCCAGTAGGAAGGAGTGATGTCCTGGATCTTTTTCTGCTAAAAAGTTCACAGAAGCCTACAACACCCACACATATTTTACAAAGCTTTTGGATTGTATAGAGAGTGTCACAACAGGGCCCAGCACACAGGTGAAATTGTGGGTCTCATTTGCACACCCAGCTGACAGTAAAGACTGTCACTCTCTCACGTAAATGAAGCCAACTGTCATACATAAAAACAGGACATGTGTGCTATAGTAAACCTCATTCCTGGAATTTTCTGCCAGTGTGATTGTTATATAAGTTTTTGCCAAGTGCTTGTGTAATTTGACTCAAAAAGCTAGTTCCACCCCACATGTGGGATTGTGATATTTACCTGGGCCAACCTCTACGTCATGTAACATTTTTGCTGGCCCCTTCTCTCAGTAAAGATTGTGACATATCACTGGATCCAGCACCCAGGTGATGTTACATTTTTGCCTGCACCATGATGACAGAAATCATTGTGACATATCACTGTGTCCACCACTTAGGTGATGTAACTCTCCTCTCTCAAATAAGCCCTGCACACAGGGAGAATAATGACATGTGTCTAGGCCAGGCAGAGAAGTGATGGTACTCTTTTGCCTGGGCCATTCCCCAAGGAGGGTATTGTGACATATCTCTGAGCACATTACCTAGGTGATGTGACCCCCTGCTTGGGCTCTGTCCACATGGAGCATTGTGACATAAGGGTGGAAGCTGCACTTAGGTGATGTAACTCTCTTGCCTGGGTCCTGTCCTAAGGTAGCCCGTGACATATCCAAGACCCAGCACCCAGGTGATGTGGCGCTTCTGCCTAATTTCTGCCCACATGTGACACTGTGATATATACCTCGAGAAGCATGTAGGTGATATGACCTTCCTTTTCTGCCTGAACCCTGCCTATTGGGGACATTGGGACATATCTCTAAGCCCATGACCTAAGTGATGTGACTCTCTTCTTCCACCTGGGCCTTTATAATGCAGGGATTGGGACACATTGCTGAGCAGCACTTAGGTGATGTGACTCTCCTCTTTCCTGAACCAGGCCCACAAAAAGGGAATTTTAACGTGTTGCTGGGCCCAGCACCCAGATGATGTCACTCTTCTGCCTGGGTCCTGCATAAAGAGGGAATTATGACATATTGCTGGTCCCAGCACCCTGATGATGTGACTTTCCTGAATGTGCCAGAGCCACAGAAGGTATTTTGACATATCTTGGGCCCATTCTGTAGGTGATTTATCTTTTATCTCTTGGCTAGGTTTTTTTCCACATGTGGAATTGTGTCCTATTGCTAGGTCCAGCACCAAGATAACGTTACCCTCCTTCTGAGGGCCTGCCTGGAGAGGGCATTGTAACATGTTGCTTGCCACAGCACCTAAAGGATATTACCCCCCTGCCTAGATTTTTGCCCACAAGTGGGATTATGACATATACCACGCTTCAGTTCTCAGGCTTGATAATTAAGTTTAAACTGCAATTCAACCAATAGGAGATATTTGCCTCTCATAGCTAGGCTTAGGACAATAGGTAAGGTTCTGAGTTTGCATATTTGTACAAAGCTCACATAGTTTAAAACATGAGCGTGTATTGTATAAACTTTTTGGGTGGTACAGAGAGTTTCGTAACAGGGCCCAGCTGAATGTTAAGATTGTGAGTTTCACCACCTCTTATGATGGCACTTGTCTTTCATGTGCATCTGATTCACATCTTTAACAGCTGTGTTCAGAGCTCCTGCTTCCTTTCAGTACAGAAAGTGCATTCCTCCCAGGAGCCCAGGCTTTACTCACCTCCTCTGTGAGGCTAAAGGCGAAAGTACTGCAGAGCTCAGAAGTTGCTTTTTAGAGAGGGTTTATATGCACAAAACTGAGTCTTGGTGTGTGGATTGGTCTGAATTACATTTTGAATTTATTTTCTCTCCCAATGCTTGTAAATCTGGTCTTTGTAAAATAGTATCTGTACCTTTTTTGGTGGTGGCCATTCATTCCAGAAAGTCTGTATTGCTTTCCATATGGATTTTCCAAGTTGCTACTGCTTGCTTTGGGTGTAATGCTCTAACATATGAAGGTGAACTTTTGTTATTGGTGACCTGGTATTGTGTTTTTAACTAACTTCAATTCTCACAGTATTAATGATAATTCCAAGAAGACTATGTTATGATAATATTTATAGACTTTGAAAATCTGACATAAAGTCCCCTGTTTCAGCAGCAAGTAAACATTAATTTTTTAGGTTAGTGTTTTTAGAAACTTGTGCTAAACAACAATCTGATTATTGTTGTTGGACTATAACCCATGTATTATTATAGCAGCTGTCCACTCTCAGTTTTGTGTATATATAAACATATCTTTATGTAATAATTTTATCTATAACTTTTAAGATTTTTTTCTTATATTTTTCTTATTTTTCCAAACAGTGCTGGCATATTTTTAGATATATTACACAAAATGTACAACAAAATTCTAAAGATTTATTTATTTATTTATTTATTATTTCTATTTTTTTGACTTTTCTTTTTATTATTATTATTATTATTATTATTATACTTTGAGTTCTAGGGTACATGTGCATAACGTGCAGGTTTGTTACATATGTATACTTGTGCCATGTTGGTGTGCTGCACCCATCAACTCGTCAGCACCCATCAACTCGTCATTTACATCAGGTATAACTCCCAATGCAATCCCTCCCCCCTACCCCCTCCCCATGATAGGCCCCGTGTGTGATGTTCCCCTTCCCGAGTCCAAGTGAGAAGACTTTGGCTTCCTGACCATTGTAAGTTTGTATTTTTTTTTTAAGTTTGTATTTTTTATATTCATTTTACATTTAATTACAAATTTCTGTGTAAAGTTCTGTAATTATTTTTTTTAATATTTGCAATGTTTTTATCAGATAAATAAAAACTAATAGTTTGGGTATCAGATTTCCTTCCTACAGTTTAAGTTTTGTAATGTCCTGTATAGTAAATAGCATCTTTTTAAAGAATACAATTTGCTGACTTTTACCCATAGATACAGCAGTGAAAGCACCACCACATTCCAGATTCAAGATAATAAACACATTCCTCCCTCTCCAACGTTTTCTTGTCCCCCTTTCTAATTCATCTGTCCTTCTCCCTCCATTCTATTATCCTTCCCCTGAACTGCCATTTCATGTAATGGAATCGTACAGGACAGGTATTTTTGATGTTCTGGATTCTGTAAAGTCAGAAAAATCATTTTCACATTGATCCATATCATTTTACATATTAATCGTTTCTTCTTTTTTATTACTAAGTAAAATTCCTTTGTATGGTCATGTGACAGTGTGTCTATCCTCTGCCTAAGAGAGAGACATGAGGCTTAATTTTTCCATTTGGTCTTTGTCCTGAAAACCAAAACCAGCACCTTTGCAAGATTTTTCTGTGTATCCTTGCGTTTTCCAACTCCATGATCAATTGACAGGGAAAACATCCAATTGATTTTGTGTTTAAAATTGTTTAAACATATAGAACATAAATAATAATTATTTTGGAACTCTTGTTGAAAAATCATTGACATGAGACAAGTGACTTTTGCAATTACCGTTAACATTTTATTATAAAAACGTTCATACATATAGCATTGATTTGTTAACACTTTAATGAACATGACTTAACACATATCTACCCCATCTTTCCATTCCTCCATCCACTCATCACCCCATCTTATTTTAGATGTATTTCCAACTAAATTGGAGACATCAACATACTTCACACTGAATGGTTTAGCAAGACTAACATTAACTGAAATTCAGTATTTTTTAATAAAATTTTCTTCTAAAGAACAGTGGCATAGAAGAAAATATACAAATCTTAAGTGTAAGTTTACTAACTTTGAAACCAGCCTACCCCCACCCCCTTTCAAGATCTACAATATTATGTCATCCCAGAAAGTAAACTCTCCTTCCCAGCCAATCCCTTTCTCATCATAGGTTAATTTTGCTTAATCTAGAATTTCACATATATAGATGCAGGCCATGTGATAGGTACTCTTTTGTGTCTGCCTTATTCTGCTCAACACAATGTTTCTGAAATTATTCCCATTGTTGCATGGATTTCTAATTCAATTCTTTCCATTTAGGACTCAGCATATGCGTAGTCCTACCTGTTGAATGGCTCTCTGTTTAGGTCACTATCTTGAAAGAAACATTAAGATGTTTGCAAGAACATACAGCTAAGTCCTGAGGAATCTATGTAAGAGTGTAATCAGAAGCCATTATCATTATGGATATTTGGTTTTACGAAAAAAAATCACGGAAAATATTTATTAGCATAAGAATTATAAAAACTCTGCCATTAACATTATGAAAATTAAATAAGTTGGTGTTAATAGAACGTCAACAGAGCTGTCAGGCAAAAATACGTTTTTTTTTTTTACCTTTGTGTTCTTTATCAGAAATAAGGCATGAAGTTTCACCACTTAAATAGAACATTATTTCTAAACTTTTCTGCCTTGTAGTTCTATGGTACGGATGGAAGGAAAGCTTCTACTCTCCTCTCTAAATGTTCACTGCAGAAATAAACTGACAACAGACAGTTTAACAGGAGAAGAAAACATACAACCCTATTAACAGGCATAAACATGGGAGCCAGCCAAAAAATGAGACTGCTAGAAGAGCCAGATTCTTGATGCTTAAAGAGCACCCTCTTCTCAGGGCAGAGTGAGATGGAGATGTAGGTAATTTAGAGGGGCACCACATGATTTTTTAGGGGAAATTAAAGAGCCCAAGGAACAAACAATTTTCCTGACACAAAATTCCTCTGAGATTATAGGGAAGAGGCAACAAACTGCAGGATGGTGAAAAAAAGAAGTGCACTGTGTCTCATGAGGAAGAGAAAACCCTCTAAATAATAAATAAGAAGTGTGTCTGGACATGGTAATAAGTGGTAATTTCAAATTATATCATTCAAAGTGCATGTTCCTGGTTGCAGCTGGAGAGAGATCAGTATGTCAAAAGTCTGGACTTGGTAAGCATTTGGCTGCTAAGTTGTGCCATAATTTAGCTTTTAAGCCTTTTTATTTATTGGGTGAACTGAGCTCTACATTTTCTTTTGCTGTTCAGTATAGTAAAAGTGTCTGGGTGTCTAGGGGCTGAACCTTCTTCTGAACTATGACTTATAAAAAATACTAATACCACAATAATTTTTTATATTCAAGGAAAGAGGAAGAATGTTTTATTTTTACAACTCAGATAATTACACATCATTCAGCACTACCCTTCATGATACGTAGAAAACAGAAAATATATAAGTTATGAAGATATCTAGGTACATTAAACAGTCTCTACCCCACTTAGTCCTGAACAGAGAATTTTCAGTGTAAATTGGAGAAAGTTTTGGATTGAACCACTTTTTAAGTATTCCATTAAGAAAAGTTCAGTTGAGCTGTTTGACTTAGACATCTTTGCACCTTCTCATCTTTGTCCTTGTTATCTAGTCATCTATCCCATTATCTCCTAGGCAGGGAGGTTGTGGGTGCCTCACAATGTTTCTTTGCTTCTCGTTTTTTCATATGTATGACATTTCTCCTAGCTCTGAACTGGGCCAGCTACTTTTCCCCTGAAACCGAGCAGTGGCTGTGGGATAGATGTGGTTGCTCTTTCATCTTTTTAGATCACCCATTGTTTCTATTAAAATCCTAGTACAGTATTTGCTTCTATTCTAGGTGCAAAAATCAGGGAAAAAAATCCTACAAAGAACTTGAAAGATGCTATTTCAATAAATAACTCTTGAATTTCAGAGGCATATAACCCACATCTGTGACAGGATTTGCATTGCATCTTGGCTATGATGAAAACAAATATTTCATGTCTTAGAAGATTAAGATCATACAATATCTATATGGAATTCCTTGTGAGAATTCACTAATTGGTGAGAATATTTTGTGTTAGGTTTAAACCAGCTGCAGTGAAGCTGGTGTCAGGGAATGGAAAGTGGACTTTGAACAGAGCAGAAACAGAAGAAAGATGCTCTGCTGCAGATCAGGAAAAAGCAGGGGGTGAAATGTTACAAATTCTAGAACTCAGAGAACTGAAGGTAATTACTTCCTTTTCACATTGTGAAACATTTTAACCTGTGGTAAAATATTCATAACATTAGATGATAATTACCATCTAACCATATTGAAGTCTACAGTTCAGTTATTTGAAGTATATTCAGGTCATTGCATAATTATTGTCTGCTAAATGTCTTCTCTCAAGTCTTTCTTAAAGTCATGAAATGTAAATGATGAATCCATGGATTAACAGTGGAAAGCCTGGAAGTCCAATAGCCAGGAAGTCCATAGCCAGGAAGATATGCTGTCTGTCAGAGTCCCCACAGCATGAAAATGAGTTTGCCCTGGAAAAGGAAAAAACAGCTTTTTGCCCTCAGATTTCTCACCTTCTTCTCTTCCCATCTGAACCAAGGATTCAGGTCCATTTGTATGCATACAAAGAAAAGGGGTTTATCTTTTTCAGGAATTAAAACTGACCTGCAAGACGTCTTTTCTTAATGGAGATCTATAGAAGCTGAAGTCCAAAAGGTGACAATGAAGCTCGGCAATTACACAATCTACAGATAAAGAAAGATTGCCAAGGAAGAGTAAGATATTCATTGACACAAATACTGTTGTATGAACCATGTCCCAAAGAAAGTAGACAACTGTAATGTCCTTGAGAATATTTTCTGCAATATTTGTGGCAAATTCAGTGAGGATAAAATTGAGTTTTTTCTGCCTGCTTTGTTAGTTCAGTCTTCATATTTTCTTTTCCTTCCTATATTCTTGTTTATAATTTTTTAGGGGGAAGAAAAGTACTGGTACTGGCATTGTTCAATTTAAGGCTTGGGTCACCTCTGGATTCATTATCACCCTCTTAGATTTTGGTCATATGACATTGTATTTTTCTGCCATATGAATAGTCTTTTTAAATTAATTGTGAGATGCTGACTAATAATATTTAGCGATGAATTAAAGCCTAGTAGCATTTTACCTTGCTGCGGAAAAGATGGGAGTCTACTTCTGGGGCATGGCCAGGGTTCCTAGCACACCTGGACGCCCTCTATATACTCAGCAATTGAGGCCATCAGTGCAGGCTCAGCCCCTACAAAGACCAGGGTACTTCCTGTCCATCTCTATTGCTGGTGTGTAACTCTCCTGGGTTCCAACCAAAGCCAGTGGACTTCAGAGGGGTCTGATTGGCAGACCCTCAATCCACTTCGTTTCCATCTAATCCCATGCATGTGTGCAAAAGCTGCTCTGCTTCTTTGCATCTCAGTCGTCCCTTTCAGAATCCAATGATGAAACTCAGGGAAATGGGCTCCAAATGTGAGGCTGACCTTCTTCCTGGGCTTTCTTCTTCTCCATCTCAGCTTCATGTCCGTTCACTTCTGTGTTAGCAATCTGATGAATTAAATTATGGGTTTTATATACTGTCTGGTGTTTCCTATTGTTCTCACAGGAGATCAGAAACTTCAGATGCACTCGTGTCTACTCAAGAGCAGAATGCTTCCTTAGATTCCTTCCGGACTCAGGTTTTGTGTTTCTAGTTTCCAAGGGCACAGCAGAAGTAGTGATGTCCTCACTAGCTTTTCACTTGCATTAAACTGTGACCTCATTTAGGGTGAGGACAGGACCCTGTTCCCATTTCAGCTTTAGCACCTCACAACACACTCCTTGCTTGAGGTCACTCCAGGTAGCATGTGTTGAAGGATGGCCTGGGTGGTCAGAAACAAGTACATTAACTTTCTCTTTAAAGTGTTATTGTTCATGTTTCCTAGAGTTCTTGGAATTTTACACGTCCTTCATATGAAATCAAGTATCAAGTGAGATCCTTAGAATCAGAACCATGAATCAAGTAGTGTGAAGGCAACACAGCAAACCTACCTTTTTAGGCCATTTTCTTTTTCTGCACTCATCTCTGTGAACCGAATCTTGTTAAAGTTGCTCAACACCAGGGTGGATGATACGCAGTTGTCACCAATTTTCAGGACATAACACCCTGACTAAGTAGCCATTTAGATCATTTCTAATTCAGTATATGTGGACAGCACTCAAATTAGCCTTATCTCTCAATAAGGATCTTTAAAGTCGATGATAAGAGTTCCGTTCCTGAATTATGGAAATGTACAGTAGTGAACTGCAGGGTTAATGACACCACGGTCTGGAAGGATCTCTCTAAGACTGATTGTCAGGACTTTGGCATTAGCCTCTGATGGAGAATCAGGTCTCCCACAGGAGGAGTAAGATGAGTAGCGATCCCTACTCTATCCTGATGGAGTTAGTTTTGATGAGTTGGTGAGGTCTGGTTTTCCACACTAAACTAAAATGAGCTTTTGCTGTGTCAAGCACAAGGCTGACCCCAGAAGCAGACATAGTAAATCTCACAGAAGCTTGTAATAGTCCTTACTTACTGAAGAATAGGACTATAGAGCTATTATGATGATTTGGAAATAACAGGTGACTTGCTAGGAGGCCAGAGTGTGATTTTTCTTTGTCCCTCAATGGAGGGTGTCGATTCTTCCTCCAGTTGTGAGGATCATTTGCTTCACTTATGGGAAGGTTGGCAGAGGACCTTTGAATGATGGCCTTCAGATGTCAGAAGGGAAGAGAGAATCCCACATGGGCTAGTGAATCATGTGCATGTATTTCCCTTCTCACCTCAGGAAGCTGAGAATGAAAGAATGTGAGTGAGCAGAAAACAAGAGACAGCTGTCAGAGGCAGAGGGAAATGTAAAATTGATTATGGAAAAAAAAACACAGCTACATGTGAGTTCAGAAATTGAACACCAGCCTCTTGGGAAACCTCCAATGGAGTGTTTTGTTTTCAACCTTTGTACAATGTTTAGACACAGTTAACACAGAAATAGAAACAAATGGTCAGAAGACATATATAAAGAGAGAGATAATTCACACAAGGGAAAACAAAGTACCTTAGGATTTACCAGTGACCAAAGCGTGTGAAGCAGGGAAACATCTCCTGACCCCAATGCAGGTCAGATTGTATGGAATCTAGGTTCATACTAGCCTTTCTAGGGATTGTGTGAGTTTTTGTCATCCTTAGAAAAGCACGTTGTTAGGACTACAGGCGTGAGACTCCGTCTCAAAAAAAAAAAAAAAGAAAAGCACGTTGTTGTAGGATCAACCACATTCTTCAAACTGACCGTGTCTGTTGAGAAGCCCAGCTTTTTCTGCCCTGTGAAATATGGCAAAGACATTAATACAATGAGAATAGAGCTTTATGATAAAAGATGACAAGTGAAGGATGAATTAGGTACATATTGAGAATAGGCAAGAAAATTGTCAACTCAGAAACCATCAAGCATTAAGTAAAGCAGGAGGAATCATTATAGCAATACCTTTGATCATACTGTACTTTTATAACCATGTGAAAAATGTTTTCTATATATAGATTTACATAGGGTACAGTTATGAGATAACAGGAACATTACAGATTATTTAAAATCATACTGAAAATGGTGCTTTATCTGATGAAAGTAATTCTAAACCATAGGACAATGATTTAAGACATTCAAGAGCTGCAGTGGCGGGTAGAGGATTACTATAGATGAGAGTTAAGGAGCCTTCCTCCCCACTGTTATGGAATCTTTCAGTGCTGATGCAGATGATTCCACAACACTTGGACTCACTCAACATATGATTTTTCATGTGTTGGCTTTTTCAGGTCATGCCTTCTGCCAAGAAAGGCTCTCGAAGAATCCTGTCTCCCATGGAAGGAGTCAGACAAGGAGCAATCCCCTGCCTCCCAGATGCTCCATTTTGATTTAGTTGTGAACTTGTTAAATACTATTAAAAAAAGTGTTCTGAACTTGTTAAATCAAAACACGGTTTTTTTTCTTTGATATAAGGTCGCACATCACAAAGCATTTACTCAGTTGTTTCTAGCTTTTAGTACTGGATATTTGTATGTGCCTATGAAAGCTCAATAGGCTCAGACATGCCACTTCTTAACTTCTACAAAAAGAGTGTTTGGAACCTGTTTCATCAAAACGCATGTTTAATTCTGTGATATAAAACAATACATCACAAAGCATTTTTACAAATGGCTTATTTCTAGTTTTTAGGGCTGGATATTTCTATTTTTATGCAAAAGCTCAATAGGTTCAGAAACATCACTTCTTAGATTCTACAATAAGCCTGTTACAAACTTGTTGAATCAAAACAGTTTCCATTCTGTAATATAAAATAGCATATTCCAAAGCATTTTCACAAATAGATTATGTTAGAACTGGATATTCATATGTCTCTGTAAAGGTTCAATAGACTTTGAAATGTCACTTAGATTCTACAAAAGAAGTGTTTGAAACCTATTTCATCAAAATGCAGGTTTAATTCTGTGATATAAAATAGCACATCACAAAGCATTTTTACAGACAGAATGTTTGGGTTTTAGGGCTAGATATTCATATTTTTTATAAGGGCTCAATAGGTTCAGAAACAACTTTTTAGAATCTATAAAAATAGTGAGTGTTTTGAACTTAAATCAAAACGCAAGTACAATTGTGCTATATAAAATAGGAAATAACAAAGTGTTTTCACACATAGCTTGTTTCTAGTTTTTAGGGCTGGATTTTTGTATGTTGCTATAAAAGGACTCAATATACTCAAATATGTCACTTTTTAGATTCTACCAAAAAAAGCATTTGGAACCTGTTTTATCAAAATGCAAGTTCAATCCTGTGACATAATACAGCATATCACAAAGCACTTTCACAGATTGCTTGTTACTAGTTTTTAGGCCCAGATATTCATATTTTCTTATCAGGGCTCAGTAGGTCAGAAATGTAACTTCTTAGATTCTAAAAAAATCATATTTTGACCTTATTGAATCAAAACACAGGTTCTATTCTGTGACATAAAATAGCACATTACAAAGCATTTTCACAGATAGCTTGTTTCTAGTTTTTAGGACTGGATATTGATAAGTTCCTATAACAAATTAATAGGCTAGGAAATGTTCCTTCTTAGATTCTACAAGAAGAGAGTTTGGGACCTGATTTATCAAAATTAAGGTTCAATTCTGTCATATAAAACAGCACACCACAAACAGTTTTCACAGATAGCTTGTTTCTAGTTGTTAGGACTGTATATTTGTATTTTCTTATAAAGGCTCAATAGGTTTAGAAACATCACTTTTTAGATTCTACAAAAAGAGTGTTTCAAACTTGTTGAATCAAAACACAGGTTCCATTCTGTGATAAAAAAGAAAAAACAGCAAAACACAAAGCATTTTCACAGATAGCTATTTTCTAGTTTTTAGGACTGGATATTTGTATTTTCTTGTAAGGGCTCAATAGATTCAGAAATGTCACATCTTAGATTCTACGCAAAAGTGTTTCAAACTTATTTAATCAAAACATAGTTTCCATTCTGTGATATAAAGCAGCACATCACACAGCATTATCACAGACAGCTTGTTTCTAGTTTTTTGCACTGGATATTTGTATGTTCGTATAAAAGCTCAAGAAGCTCATCTATGTCTCTTATTAGATTCTACAAAAAGAGTGTTTTGAACTTGTGGAATCAAATCACAGGTTCCATTCTGTAATACAAAACACCACATCACAACGTGTTTTCATAGAGAACTTTGTTTCTAATTTTAAGGGTAGGATATTCATATGTGCTATAAGGCTAAATTAGCTAAAAAATGTCACTTCTCAGTTTCTACAAAAAGAATGTTTGGAACTTGTTTCATCAAAATACAGGTTCAATTTAGTAATAAAAAACAGCACATCCCAAAGTATTTTCACAGATAGCTTGTTTCTAGTTTTTAGTGCTGGATATTTATATTTTCTTATAAGCGTTCAATAGGTTCAGAAATGTCACTTTTTGGATTCTACAAAAAGAGAGTTCTGAACTTGTTGAATCGCAACATGGATTCCATTCTGTGATATAAAACAGCACATCACAAAGCATCTTCACAGATAGCTTATTTCTAGTTTTTAGGATTAGATATTCATATGTTCCTATAAAGGCTCAATAGACTCAAAATTGTTACTTTTTGAATTCTACAAAAAGAATGCTTGGAACCTGTTTCATCAAAATGCAAGTTCAATTCTGTGGTATAAAACAGTAAATAACAAAACATTTTCACAGATAGCTTGTCTCTAGTATTTAGTGCTGGATATTCCCATTTTCTTATAAAACCTGAATAGATTCAGAAAAAATTACTTCTTAGGTTCTGCAAATATAGTGCTTCTAACTTGTTGTGTCAAAACACAGGTTCCATTCTGTGAAAAAAAAATAGCACATCACAAAATGATTTCACAGATAGATTGTTTCTAGTTTATATTGCTAGATACTCATATTTTCTCATAAGGGCTCAATAGGCTCAGAACTGTCACTTTTTAGATTCTACAAAAAAGGGTTTGAAACCTGTTTTATCAAAATGTGGATTCAATTCTGTGATATAAAACAGCACATCACAAAGCATATTCATGGATAGCTTGATTCTAGTTTTTAGGGCTGGATATTTGTGTTTTATTATTATATGAGCTCAATAGATTCCTAACCATCACTTCACAGATTCTACAAAAAAGTGTTTCAAACTTGTTGAATAAAAAGGTTACATTCTTTGAAACAAAACAGCAGAACACAAATGTTTTCACAGATAGCTTGTTTCTACTTTTTAGGGCTGGATGTTTGTACTTACTTATAAGGGCTCAATAGATTTAGTAACATCACATCTTAGATTCTACAAAAAGAAGTTTCAAACTTGTTGAATCAAAACACAGGTTCCATTCTGTGACATAATACAGCACATCACAGTGTTCTCACAGATAGCTTGTTTCTAGTTTTTGAAGCTGGTTGCAGCTATTTTATTCCAAACACTCAATAGGTTTGGAACTGTCACTTCTTAGATTTCACAAAAAGAGTGTTTTGACCTTGTTGAATCAAAACACAGGTTCCATTCTGTGATATAAATACCACATCCCAAAGCATCTTTACATATAGCTTGTTCCTAGTTTATAGAACTGGATATAATATATTACTACAGGGGCTCAACAGGCTCGGTAATGTCACTTCTAAGATTCTACAGAAAGAGTGTTTGGAACCTGTTTAATCAAAGCACAGGTTCGATTCTGTGCTATAGAACAGCACATAAGAAAGTGTTTTCACAGATAGATTGTTTCTAGTTTTTAGGATTGGATGTTTTTATGTTCTTGTAAGGGCTCAATAGGGTCAGAAATGCCATTTTTAATTTGTACCAAAACAGTATTTGGAACCTGTTTCATCAAAATGCAGGTTCACTTCTGAAATATAAAACAGCACATCACAAAGCATTTTCACAAATAGCTTTTTTTTTCTAGTTTTTAGGACTGAATATTCATTTGTTCCTATAAGGGCTTAATAGGCTTGGAAATGTCACTTCTTTGATCGTACAAAGAGAGTGTTTGGAACATGTTTGATCAAATGGAGGATCCATTTGGTGATATAAAACAGCAAATTACAAAAGGTTTTCACAAATACATTGTTTCTAGATTTTAGGACTGGATATTCATATGTTCCTGTAAGGGCTCATTGGGCTTGGAAATGTCACCTTTTCACATCTACAAAAAGAGTGTTTGGAATCTGTTTCATCAAAATGCACATTCAATTCTGTGTTTAAAAAAAAGAGCACATCACATAGCGTTTTTGCAGATAGCTTGTTTCTAATTTTTAAGGCGATATTTATATGTTTTTATAAGGGCTCACTAGGGAGGGAAATGTCACTTCTTAGATTCTACAAAAAGATTATTTGGAACCTGTTTCATCAAAATGCAGGTTGAATTCTTGGATATAAAATAGCACATCACAAAGCATTTTCACAGAT